TAATATTTTTGAAATATGTGAGGGAAAAGATAAGATCAGAGTACCTTTATTCTCGTTGTGGCATAACTTCATTGCAAATCTATATAGCATTAGCCTCAGCAACTACCAGCCAATTTACGGGGGGGTAAGATACGAAAAAGAAAACCCAAACAAAAGCTCCATTCATAAAAAAAGAAACAGTCAGAGAGAAAGAAAGAGAAAGAGAAAAACAGAATCCCCGACCGACCGCCTTCCTAACGAACCAGCCCTGCATCTAAACCGCTTACCCCGCAGCCGGAGAGCAGCAGGAGACCCGCGTGTTCGTCTTCCACGACTGGGGCATCGCCGTCTACGAACCGGACGAGTGCCGCCTCTTCCACGTGATCCAGGGCACTGACGTCATCCCCGGCACTCAGGAGTACGTCTGCGGAGACAAAGGTGAGGGAGGGGAAAGGATGGGTACATGGATAAGGTGATAGATAGATAAATAGCTATAGATAGATAGGTAGATATAGGTATAGATACATAGAAAGATATAGGTATAGATAAATAGACAGATAGATAGATAGATATGGATAGACTTATAGATAGACTCATAGACTATATATATGTATATGGACAGATAGACAGAATAATTGACCGGCTGACTGATAAACTGATGGATAAATAGAGAGAGAGAGAGAGGCAGACAGATAGACAGAAAGAGACAGAGAGAGACATAGAAATATAGATACTCAGGTAGATAGAGAAATAAGTAGACATATAGATAGATAGATACAACATTATCATAATTATTTATCTATTCTGACACACATTTAAAACAATAAAAAACAGTCAGCCCTATGAGCCAAAAATACCTACCCACACTAATTCAACTCCAAACAAACAACACTAACTCTGATCCACAAAGAAAAACGCAAAATTAACTCTCCCCTCTTCTTCCCCCCCCCCCACCCCATCCCCCAGGCACCAACTGCTCGTGGGGGCGCGCGATCAACGTGGCGAGAGATACATCTAGTCACGGCAGCCAGGAGAGACAGGGGCTCGTCGTGTCGGTCCAGCAGATGGTTGTAGTTGATGTGAGTGAGATGTGTTTTGTTGTTGGTGTGAGTGAAATGTTGTGTTTTATTGGTGGTGTGATTGGGATGTTGTGTTTTGTTGTTAGTGTAAGAGTTCTGTTTTGTTGTTGGTGCGAGTGAGACTGTGTTTTGTTGGTGGTGTGAGTGAGATGCTGTGTTTTTGTTTGAGAAGGGGAATTATGGGAATGATGGTGATAAAGAAAGAAAACGGAATAAAGAGGAGTTGGAATATAAAAATGGTAGAAATATGGTTGAGTAGATGGTTGTAGTTTATGTGAGTGAGATGTGTTTTTATTTGAGAAGGGGAATTATGGGAATGATGGTGATAAAGACAATTACTAATATTTCTAATTTTCCTTATGCACAGCTACATTTATCCTCCCGCGATAAACAAGTAAGAAAATCACTACACATATTTATTTAGTAATATGATTTTTTGTTTTTTCTCCAATAAAAAAACCGTCTGCTTTTCTCCCTCGTCCCAGGTCATTGTTACAGACCAGTATCCTGTCGACTTGTCCTACGTCCCCAACCTCGACCAGGTCTGGGTCCTTAACTGGCGTTCGACCAAAGATGAGGGAGTGAAAACCATACAGGTAGGCATATAGATTTGTTGTTGTTGTTGCTGTTTTGTGACGGTGAATTCTTACCTTAAATAATGCACCAGATAAGGTGGAATTGGAATTGCTTGGGGTAAAGCGTTATGTAAAGTATAATGGTATTCTTGATTTTTTTTTTACTTGTTCGCAAGTTTGTTGTTGTTTTTTTATGATAATTGTAGTATCCCCCAGCTGCAACATGATAAAAGTCATACTAGCTAAAAAGATTTTGCTGGAAGTTTTAACAATAACCATTTCAGTATTTCCATGCCAAAGACCACAAGAAGGAACTTTTATACATATTTCACAGCTGAATAAAAAATGCCAACCAGTTAACAAGATACTCTACATACAAAAAAAAAGAATAAAAATAAAAATATCAAAAATAAACAAAATAAAAAACATAACACTCTCCCATTCATATTACGCACACAACGTATTATTACAGTGTATTTCCATCTATTTATAGGTTATTCGGGACGCATCACAGAAGAAGAAGCACCACACTGTTCACCCGGAGCCAATCGATGGACATTTCGACCTCGTAAAGGACCTTTTCGTCCCACCAACACAGGTACTGCTTCCGGGGTGTATATTTGCGTGAAGTTGGCACATATTGGTGATATGTGTACAGTTAGATTGACTGATTATTATATGTAGGTTGACTGTTGGTTAATTGACTTATAAGGAGAGAGAGAGAGAGAGAGAGAGAGAGAGAGAGAGAGAGAGAGAGAGAGAGAGAGAGAGAGAGAGAGAGAGAGAGAGAGAGAGAGAGAGAGAGAGAGAGAGAGAGAGAGAGAGAGAGACGAGAGAGAGGAGCAACGAGAGAGAAAGAGAGAAAGAGAGTAAGGAGAGAAACCACGTCTCACCCTGTCTTCCTCCTCCACCACCGCCACTCTTTCCCCCAGGACCTCGGCCACGACTTCCGCTACGCCTACGTCACCCACACCAACCAGCGGGGTCTGTACAAGCTCGACCTCGCCAACATGAAGTACGTGAAGACCGTCGACCTCACTCCGTACAACTGCGTCCCTCAGCACCTCGTATTCTCGTCGCTCCGTAAGTCCGGGTGTTCTAAAAGGTTTTCTGTGGGGGTTCTAAAAAGAGTTCTGAGTGGGTTTTAATAAGAGTTCTGTGGGGGTTCTGTAAGGAGTTCTGTGGGTGTTCTAATGCTGCGTTCGGAACTGCTCGTCCAGACCAGTTGGACGAGATGTTTTGACCGTTCGGAACCTCTGCTATCTCGTCCTGGACAAGTTGTCCATCTCGGCCTCCTGCGAAGGTGGCCGAGCAGGACAAGATGACGTCACAATAGATCTTGTATGTAAACATTGACAGTTGCAGGTAACCACAAGATATTGGTGGGTAATTTTATGGCCCTTAATTGGTGTTATAAAAGGATATTTTTCTGTTTGACAGTTGCAGGTAAGTTAAATATGCACCAAAGGAGTTACAAAACCTTTACAGCGTATAAAATAAAGACACCGGTATGATAAAAAAGTGAATGTTTACATTCGAGCCGGTTGCATTCTGGGCAGGAAGGGTCTTGGAGGTTCCGAACGCGGCCCACTTGTCCTGCTGGTCTTGGACAAGTGGTCTGGACGAGCAAGACGAGGAGTTCCGAACGCAGCATAAAAGGAGTTCTGTCGGGACGTAAGAGTTCGTTGAAGTTTAGTTTGTTCGGTTAAGTGGGTTTTGTTTTGTGTTTATGGGATGGGTTTGGAATTTTTGAAATGGACTACATGTATAATGTAGATGTAGTAATTGTTATTATCAATATGAATCTTCGTTACTGATAAAAATCTCATGAAGATCATTTTTACTTTTGATCATTTCAACCTTCATCATTTTACTCTCATCTTTATCATTATTTTACTATCATTATCAGTGCCTTCACCATCGCTCTTCTCTCCATCACGATATTCGTTGTTCTTAATACTACATTCAAGACCATGATTTTTCATTGATATGACTATTACCATTCTATCATTCTCATTTACATATAACCACCCTACATGTTTTTCACAGAATATCATCACCCTCGTCGGTCTCCCCATATAATTGCAACCTCATCATCACCATCACATCATCATCATCATCGTCATCACCATCACCCCCACCACCACTCTCACCACACTCATCACCATCACTCCCCCCCCCCCCCCCCACCACCATCCTCACCGCCCCCTAACGCGCCTCCCCGCAGACGGCCTGGTGGTGATGGACTGCCAGGAGCCCGTGACCGGCCGGCGCACAGGTCAGCTGGTCCTGGACTACCTCACCGACGCCGTTCTCAGCCACAAGACCAACCTCATGGGTCGTCCTCATGTCGTCCCCGATTCCTCGCTGGTCGTCACGGTCGATACGCTCTACCATGTGAAGATTGTGGTTCAGAAAGTGACAGGTAAGGAAGGGTGGGAGGAATGGTAGGTTATATATGGTAGGTATGGTAGGGGGATGAAATGTGGGGTTAAAAACAGGTAAAGCAGGATGGAGATATGATAATGTTTGAGTGTTACCATAAAAGAGTTGGTTCTATATCCAAGTGAATACAGGTGGTATTTTTATAGAGGAACGTGTATATTAAACAGCGGGATGATGCGGTAGGATGGCTAGTTACTTTCCTCCCCGACTCTGACCCTATAATGCTGATGCCAGTACTCGCATCTGAGTCGGCGAAGAGAGGCTGATCAAGGGCGAGTCAGAGACATTGCCGTTGAGAAGCCAGCGCTGTGCCACTTAAGCCAAGCCACTGCCATATAAGGAATGGTTAGGTGAAGGAATATCGGTTTTAAATCAGTTTAATACGAATTCTGATATAATACTACGGGTCGAAATGAAATACGGGGTTTTACTCTACGTAATATGGGATCAAAATCTATCTATAGAGGTATAGAATATAACGATATGAATCTGAAATGGGATAATAGGATTTTGAAATATGATAAAACGTGTTCAAAATATGCCAAGGCAAGTTTGATGTACATTAATACGAGTTCATGATATAGTAATGTTAGTTTATAATGCGATAGTATGATCTCGAAATTTGATAACACGTCTAATAGATAATTAAAGGTTTAGATATTAAATCCTTTTTAGAATGTAGGATCATTAAGCTATATAAACAACACGGTTTTTGTGATGTTTAGAGTCAAGCTGGATTTCCTCATCAAGTGTGAATACTAGAAAAGGTTGAACGTTAATCTTGTTTACGATAAATACACCATCACCCATGGATACTAGAAATTTAAATCCGATACATGTCATTATTGTTCTCTGATGTTCACAGTCATTTCACTCGTTGATTTGAGGATTATTTTTTGTTGAATGGGTGTAATTTGTGAGGAAGGAGAGGACGTAATTGTAGTGCTTCGAAAAGTTAATGAAGTGGTTATATTGACATAGTAATAAAGCCATATATATTAAGTTTCAATAGATAGAAAGATTAAAAAAATACAAAACCGAAATAGTTAAACCTACGAATCTGACCAACAACAAATCAAAATACACATCACCATCTTATTTAAAAAAAAAATGTCAACGCCCCTTGACTCCCTATTTTTAAAGACTAAATCCTCCTTTTCAGATCACGGACTGGAGTATGTCTATGACGTCATCACCACTCTGAACGTGAGTGACGTGACCTTCTTCCCTTCACGCCTGACACACAGCTATGACCTGTATGCTGCGTCAACAGACAAGGATGACATTTTCTTCCTCGAACTGCACACAGGTGAGAAACTTTTATTATGATTATTAATGTCATAATCATTATTGCTATTATCATTATCAAAGTTATTCTTACTATTGATGTTATAGTTATTATTGTCCTAATTGCATGTTTATTATCATCGTCATTATTATGAGAATGATTCTCTCCCAGTTTCCCACACTGTCACGCCTCCCATTCTTGGATTTCCTCCCCGTCTCCCCATGCTATTGTTCTTCTTTTACCCAATCTCTCCTTCCTCTTATTCATACTCCCTTTATCGCACCCGTCTCCACTCGACTCTCGGCTCTCCTTTCTCTTCTTCCCTCTCACGTCTCCCCTCTCCTTTGCTGTCACCCTCTCTTTCTTATTGCTTCTCCCCTTCATATCCTATCTTCCCTCTCGTCTTCCCCCTCTCACTCTCCTCACTTCCCTCTCAGTCTCCCCTCTTCCCTCTCGGCATCCACTCTCACTCTCCCCTCTTCCCTCTCACTCTACCCTCTCGCCATCCCCCTCTCTCTCCCCTCTCGCCACTCTCCCCTCGTCACTCTCTCTCGCCATCCCCTCTCACTCTCCCCCTCTCGCCATCCCCTCTCACTCTCCCTCTCGCCATCCCTCTCACTCTCCCCTCTCGCCATCCCCTCTCACTCTACCCTCTCGCCATCCCCTCTCACTCTCCCCTCTCGCCATCCCCTCTCACTCTCTCTCGCCATCCCCTCTCGCCTCTCTCACTCTCCCCTCTCCCTCTCACTCTACCTCTCGCCATCCCCCTCTCACTCTCCCTCTCGCCATCCCCTCTCACTCTCCCTCTCACTTCTCCCTCTCGCCATCCCCTCTCACTCTCCCCTCTCTCTCCATCCCCTCTCGCCATCCCTCTCACTCTCCCTCTCGCCATCCCCTCTCACTCTCCTCTCCATCCCCTCTCACTCTCCCCTCTCGCCATCCCTCTCACTCTCCCTCTCCCATCTCCTCTCCCATCTCTCACTCTCCCTCTCGCCATCCCCTCTCACTCTCCCTCTCGCCATCCCCTCTCACTCTCTCTCATCCCCTCTCATCTCCTCTGCCATCCCCTCTCACTCTCCCCTCTCGCCCATCCCTCTCACTCTCCCCTCTCATCGCCATCCCCTCTCACTCTCCCCTCATCCCCTCTCACTCTCCCCTCTCGCCATCCCCTCTCACCTCCCCTCTCGCATCCCCTCTCACTCTCCCTCTCGCCATCCCCTCTCACTCTCCCCTCTCGCCATCCCCTCTCGCCATCCCCTCTCACTCTCCCCTCTCGCCATCCCCTCTCACTCTCCCCTCTCGCCATCCCCTCTCACTCTCCCTCTCGCCATCTCCCTCTCCCATCCCTCTCACTCTCCCCTCTCGCCATCCCTCTCACTCTCTCCTCGCCATCCCTCTCACTCTCCCTCTCGCCATCCCCTACCCTCTCATCCCTCTCTCTCCCCTCGCCATCTCCCCTCTCGCCATCCCCTCTCACTCTCCCTCTCGCCATCCCCTCTCACTCTCCCTTCTCTCACTCTCCCCTCTCGCCATCCCTCTCACTCTCCCTCTCGCCATCCCCTCTCACTCTCCCCTCTCGCCATCTCTCACTCTCCCTCTCGCCATCCCCTCTCACTCTCCCCTCTCGCCATCCCCTCTCACTCTCCCCTCTCGCCATCCCCTCTCACTCTCCCTTCTCGCCATCCCTCTCTCTCCCCTCTCGCCATCCCTCTCACTCTCCCCTCTCGCCATCCCCTCTCACTCTCCCCTCTCGCCATCCCCTCTCACTCTCCCCTCTCCCGCAGGCAAAGTGGAGATGATCACGGGCGTGGGCAAGGCGATGCCGCCCGAGCTAGCCGAGTGGAGCAACACCAACCGCGCAATCGTCTCCGCCGGCGTCTTCGGCCACTACATGGTCTCCCCTTCAGAAGCCGCCATCTTCGTGATCAACGGAGAGACACGCACCGTCAACTGCGAGATCGGGTCGTTGGTGCACCCCCGCCTGGCCGTGTGGGTGACGAAGAAGTACATCTAAGGAGGACGTGAAGGGAAGGAAGGAAGGGACAAGGATCCCGGGTCGTATGGTGTACCAAGGAGAGAGAGAAAGAGAGAGCGAGAAGAAAGAGAGGAAGAATAGAGGGAAGGAGAAAGAGGAAGAGGAAGAGTGTAAGGGAAATAGAGAGGAGAGAGAAAGAGAAAGAGGAGGAAATAGAAAGAAGGTGGATATTGAAAACAAAAAGACGTATGAATTACCTTTGTGCTTCTATTCATACGAAAGACCGTCTCTGTACAAGGAACACCAAGACACTGATTCATCACGTATATGTGCAGATTTAAAAGAAAAAGAAATATATAGCTCACAAAGCAGCTCAAACTCTCCCTCTTTAGGCCGTAAATACTATAAGGACCCTTACTTAAAAGTATCAGTATAAGGAAGAAAAACAACATTCTAATCGTTACTATTTATTCACTTATTTATTTAGAGAATGTTCTTTATTCATGTATTTTGGTCGTAGACATACCCATAGCAGAGGAGGGGAGTATGATATTGAAGACATATCTTTCTAATATAATATAATCAGTAGTCTGTTTATTTATTTATTTTCTGTTTATTCATTATTATTATTTTCAACATTCCACCTGTTGGTAATCAAGAACGGGTATGTCGGATCAGGTAAATCAATCACGTGACCTAGACAGCGGTAATTAGCGTATATAATAAATCACTGGTGATCTCATTAATCTATTCTACTTAGAGAGAACATTATGAAATTTTTAAAAAGTGTTCTTTTTATTATTAGTTTTAACTACGTATTTATAGAGATTATTTAATGATTCCAATTTTCACAAGAGTGGGGGAAACTATATCATCTAGTTTTCGTAACTCAAAAACGAAAAAAATAAAAGAAAGAATCTAGGATAAGACTCAGAATAGAAGTGAATGTAAACACACTATCATGCAAGCTTGCAAACATGTGCAATAGCAGTCACGTAGCGATGTTGCAAAGGCGTAACTAGAAGATGTTGAACAATTTGAATGCTCTGTGTATCACTTCCATTATTCATTAAAAAATACTTTCTTTTTTTAAAGCACTATGCTTCATGGTAACAAAAGTACTAGTCATAAATATAATGATTGGCAAATCCCGTTCTTTTTTCATCGGGGATTTATTAAAATGTAGAAGAAAAACATTTAAATCGACTAAGCTCTTACAATGAAACTGACCAGGATGGGGAAAGTCATTCTTTTGCTTTCATTTTGATCATTACTCATGGCTAGATTAAGCAATTAATTTCTTTAAAGTACGACAAAGATACAATATATATTGGCTATCATTCATATCTTCCCAGAGTGAAATAAATAATGAATGTTTTACTAACATATCTAATCACCGATTCTTGAAATCTTGTATCAACTGTGAAAAAATCAACATCTTCTAATGATGATTATTAGTATCTTGATTAAATGATTCCCACTCCTGATCAGTTCTCGGTAAAGATTACACATAAAGTTATTATGTGCCACAGTTAGCTTAGCCTTGCACTTTTGCACAAACCAAAAAAGCAGGAGATGAAAAAAAATGTTTTTCATTTTTATTTCTGATTATCCTTTCGAAAAAGATAAATAATCTAGTCATATTATTCATGGTCTTTAGAATAAGAGCTACTACTACTGACACATTCCCTCCACGTGCGCGCAGAACAAGGAGAGCTCGGTGGCGTGAGGGAGGAAGCAAGCAAGCAGGAAGCAAATTAGAGGCGATTTCTCTCCCCCTCCCCGCCCCCACCACGGATTCTGAACTCGTCTCATTTCATGAATTCTCAAGCTTTATATGGGGCTTTTCACCTGTTGAATTTATTGGGAGTTTCTCACCTGTAGGATTTATGGGGAGGTTTCACCTATGGAATTTATGGGGGTGTATTACCTGTAGAATTTACGGGTTGTTCTCACCTGTAGAATTTTATGAGGGGTTACCACCTGCAGATTTTGTTTCTTACCTGTGGAAATTATGGGATTCTGACCTGCAGACTTATGGGATTTCTCACCTGTAAAATTTATTGGGGTTTGTCACGTAGATTTTTGTGGGGGGTTGTTACCCGTAGAATTTATGGGATTCTAACCTGTAGACTTAGCGGGATTTCTCACTTGTGCATTGTACGGGCCTTCCCACCTTCCCTATCTTCATCCCCAAACTTCTCACCCCCATATCTTCCTTGCGCGAGTAATGAAAGCAATGTTCTTGAAATATCCGTTGTGCAGAACTACCTTTGAAGTAACAGCCTGTACTTCTTGCATGTGCTAATTCTGCAAAGAAGGAAGATTAACCAGCTAATCAAAATTTCCTCCTTTTTGACCCGCGAGAGACAAGTGGCAGCGTCTTGAAGGTAAAGCTTGGGGTTCCTGAAGTGTTATGGGTTTCTGTCAACACAACACACTTGGAAACATGGAGGATTTGCAAGAGGGAGTGAGACTGGCATTTCCGTGGCCAAGAAAGAAAGAGAGAGAGATACAGAAATTAAGAAAGAAAACAGAAAAAAAGAATAAACTTTATTCCTTTCCTCCTTGTCTTACACTGTCCCCTCCCCACCCAACCCTCCCCAACACCTAACGCCCCACCATATAGCTTAGGTGTAAAGTCTATATAAACAAAGGATAGCGTTCGACCCTCTCTGTGCCCCGCTAGTGCTGAGCTCACTGCCTCTTTCATGAATAGAATAAACCTTAAACCTGTTTATTGCCTTACAAATACAGGCTTGTGTTTGTATGTAACTACATCTTGTATATTGATGTCTGTATTAAAGAAGAAAATGTAATTCATTGACTAGTGTGGAGTAGCTTGAGTATTTTAAGGGATATTAGTGTAAGGATAGTTGCATTACGGTATATTGTAATCTCATCTGGAGAGGAAAAAAGATCCACTGTGTATATGTACTCCATTGCTGTTTCGGAATAGTTTAGGATAAAGCATTAAGTATAAATGTAAATAATAACAATCCCCTTTCTAAATGTAGCTTCTGCCTTCCAAAATTAAACTTTTAGATTGTAGTACAGTATCTTTATTTTGTTTAAAAGAAATGAAAAAGAAAAACTGATTCCTAGACTAGCAGAGCCACAGATCATCAGAAGACGAGTATCACCGGATCTGGATTTTATATATCTATTGACAGTACATGGATGTCTGTAGCACTCGACCGCCATGGGCAGTGAACTATGCTGATGTTGATCCACATATCAGTGGTGTGACACTTTTAACCAAGCCTGTCTCAAGGGGCGGATCTATTCTGACATCCGATCCCCAATTATCTCTCTATCCAGTACAGATTTCTGCATGAGCTAGACCTTTCTCCAATCACTTCCGGATTGGGTGAATCTGAGAGCATCCGTTTTCCAAATGAGTTGTGGAATTGTGTATACAGTAAGGATGAACGATCTCAAAATCGTATTTCTTACGGTTTGTATAGAAATTGAATAAAAACAATGGTCTTTCCAGACTCACTACCAAATAAGGTATGGATTACACACACACTCATAAAAGTGAGAGCTTAACAAAAAAGGAATTAGATAAAAACTTGAAGAGCTAGACACAAACAGTAGAACAAAGACGAGATAGAGAGAGAAAGGAGAGGTTTTCCAATAGAAATAGATATACCACAAGGATCCCGACATTCTGACAGGAGTACTTGCGCTGGAAGAATGAGAGCTGTCTATGTTTCAAGGACGTAGTGATTGTGTCACTTATCAGACAAAACTAGGCTTGTGCTTTAGAAGATTATGTGCAGCTGAAGCTTGTAAATTAGTGTGAGCACAAAAGGGGTTTTTGTGTATATTCTCATCCCCTTCCACTCGTGTGTGCGACTTTCTTTCTACGAAAAAGAATTACTGTATATCCGGTCTCTTTATGTTATATTTCAGTCCTCTTAAACTGGTCACTTGGAAAGAAATTGTAACAGATCGAGTACCTCGTCTCATTTAAAAGATACGTGTACCAAAACCCAAGTCGGTGTCTTTTGTTTTCGAAAAAAAGAAAGAAATAGAGAAATTGAGTCTCGTACCGTACTTTTCGGTGCTTTTTATTCAAGAGTGCTCATCCAAGCATGGTTTCTAGACAGGCCGAAATTCTTCATTAGTCCTGAAGTATGTCGCACTACACTTCACGATAGTTCTCACATACGCAAAACCTCAAAGACAGGTCAAGACAGCGTAAAGTAACTTCAGCAACGGCACATCTATGACGATATTTTTTTTATGTTACAGTAGGATCACAGAGGAATATCATTGAGTACTTTTTTCCCCATGTAACAGTAGTTAATGTTCCTTATTAGTCCTACACCTTAAAACAAAGAAGGGAATATAAAATATCACTACTTAATAAGTCAAAAGATATATATATATATATTATCTGCTGAACATGTGGAAAAGGTTATATGTGTTTCAGTTTATTTTTTTACCAGATGCTAGGTTATGCCTACCTTTTCAACTTTCTGATATCATTCTGTTCACGACGAACGTGAAAGCACTGTACAAGGGCTTGGGACTTGTAAAATACTTTTGTAACTTGTCTTGCCAGAATTTTTTTTTTTCGATTTATCACAAGAAAAACAGGAGAGGAGGATCTTGTAGGATGTAAGACAATAAGATAATAATAATGATAAAAAACACTTGAATTCACAGTGTCACCGTAATTGGCTTTTACTAAGAACTGTATTTGATTTTGTGTGCATTATTACAATCGTAAGAACTTGGAAGTACTTGTAAGTTTCAGTAATGCATGGAGACTGTATGAAGTCCTTTTAATGAAACATGTTGCTTATTTCAGAGAACAAGAATGTCGTAAAACTGAGTGAACACAATCTAAGCCTAAAACAATGGTAAGGAGAAACTTTACGTGCATAATGAATGGAATACATCCGGAACACCAAATTTTAAAATCTTTTTAGCATTGTTGGATATGTTTTTGATTATAGAAAGTCAAAAGATATAACTTGTCTGTATCGAGTTGAAAAAATTACTGGAAATTTAAGTAAAAAGAATGAAAATTATATATATATATATATATATATATATATATATATATATATATATATATATATATATATATATGTATATATACATGTATATATATGTATGTATGTATGTATGTATATGTACATGTA